AGTCCCTGAAAGGGTAAATGCCAGGCAGTGAATAAGTCAGAGAAGCAGGTGGTGACAGGCAACAGGAGGCAGGGATGAATCAAGGGAGAGCTGGAACAGTTCTGGACCCCAAAGATTCACTATTTTTTTTGTTTTGATTTTATTTTGTGGTTTTTCCAAGCAGGATTTCTCTCTGTAGCCCTGGATGTTCTATAACTCACTTTGTAGACAAGGCTGTCCTTGAACTCTCAGAGATCCACCTGTCTCTGCCTCCCAAGTGCTAGGATTAAAGGCATGTGCCACCACCACTCAGTTACTCAGTTAGCATCTCTATTCTTAAGGAAGCCTTAAGAGGACGTTAAACCACTTGGAACTGGAGTTACAGTTGGTTGTGAGATGCTTCCTGAGGGTGCTGGGAATCAAACCCAGATCTCCTGCATTGAGTCATCTCTCTAGCCCTTGTAGGCAACATTCTTATACATGTCTTGTAGGCAACATTCTTATACATGTCTCATGATATGCAGCTGTGAGAGCTTTTTAAGGATGTATCTCTAGAAGTTCCTTTGTTCAATCACAAAGTATGTATCTGTACGTTTGCCACTGTTTCACCTGGCTACATACTTGATTTACTTTTTCCCCCCCTGAGACAGAGTCTGTCTATTATACATCTCTGACTATCTTGGAATGCACTCTGTAGACCAGGCTGGCCTTGAACTCACAGAGATCCACCTGCTTCTGCCTCTTGGATGCTGGGATCAAAGGCGTGTGCCATCACTGCCTGGCTCATTGTGTCTTCTTTGCTATATCATATTGTAATTCTATCCAAGGAACCGCTACAGCCAGCTGATAATCTCATTTATCAAAAAAGGAAAAGAAAGAAGATCGTTTGAGACTTTTTAAACGATGGCATCCCACAGGCCTCCAAAATCCTATACACTGAAGCTGCTAAGACACGGACTGGGACTCTTAGGTGTGCCTTAGCCTTTCCCGGGGAATCTTTCTGCTAACCTTTGTGCTTTATTGTGTGTTAAAATACCGTCTTAGTAAGTATTTAAACTCAAATTCAGCCGCATACTGTCCTGAGATCACTTATTACTCAGTGGCTAAAGAGTGCAGGACTTGAGTTCAGTTCCTAGCAACCATGTAGGGTGGCCCACAACCACCTGCAACTCCAGCTTCAGGGGAATCTAATGCCCTTTTCAGGTAGATGCACCCATGTGCATGCGCATGTGTGCACACGCACACACGCACATGCGCACACATGCACATACACACACACACAATAAAATCTTTAAAAAATAGGATAGTGATGTTTATATTTCCTTGGAGAATTAAATGAAATTATTATGCATCTATATATGTTCATTCAAATGCCTGGTTAGGATTCAACAAGTATTCTTATAACAATAGTCATAATAGTATAAATAATAATGTATATCGAATTCTTGCTATTGGAGAAAACATTTTCCTTAGTGCTTGAAACTCATTATCATATTTACTCCCAACAGTAATCTTAATAGGCTGCTGATAATATCTTTAAATTTTAGGTGAAGGAGCTAAAGACTATAGAGCTGGAAAAAGTCTCAGCAATAATAAAAGGGACTGCTAGGGGCCATAGCATAGTTGACAGAGTGCTTGCCTAGCATGCATGAGACCCTGGGTTCAAGCCCCAGGATGAATTAAAACAGTCATAGTAAGCAACAGCTGGCTGTAATCCCAGCACTTGAGATGTAGAGGCAGGAGGATCACAGGGGTTATTGGAAGAGATTGGCTGACTGATCAGTTGGCAAGTCTGATCTTAGTCTGCTACACTGTAACTAGTTGTCATTATTTTATGTAGATGAGACAACACCGAGGAGAGTGAGGTCTGGAGGTAGACAGGTAGGTAACTTTGCACCCAGTACTGTGCTGGGTGCTGGGAACATACTGGGGACCAAGGCACTTTTTTTGTTCCAAGGCCATTTGGAACCTGGCTCAGGGTTTCTGAAGACTATCTGTCTCACAGTGACCCATGCTGTCCGAGGCACACACTCCATGAGGCAGTCCACTTCTTCAGGTTTGCAGGAAGTCTGAGGGTCGGTGATCCTTTTGGTTGGGAACACAGGAAATAGATGATCACAGTGCAGAGACAGAAGTTACAGAGGGATCGGACGAATCTCCTCATGAAGCCAAGTCTAAGTGGAGACCTGGAATTTAGAAAAAGTTAGCAATGAAAGTGCAGGATGAAGAAAGAAAAGGAGAGATTGGAGGTCAGGGTGCAATGTCCACATGCCTAGGAGTGAGAGGAGACCAAGAGACCTTTTCAAAGAGAGAGGAAATATTTTAGAAATGTGATGACAAGGCCCAAGAGGTTGGCAGGGATCAGGTGACAAAGGCTTGTGAGTCATGTCAGAAGGTTTGGACTTTATTCTATAGGTGGTGGAAAATCACAGAGTTAGTACTCAGAGGATGTTGACAGTTTTGAGATTAAGAACAGGTCCTCTGGCAGCCATCACACAGAGAAGAGGTTGTGAGATGGGACAAGACTTTCCTCGGGGTTGTTACAGCTCAGGCAACAGGGCCTGCTGTGAGGCAAGACTGAGGAAGGAGGGAAATGGACAGAGAGGAAATCCACAGGAGCTGGTCACTGACCGGATGTGACAGGGTGGGAGAACTGGCTGCCAGTCACATCTTCTTTCTTCAGCAAGCTGGGTCAAGGCTCTGAATTTCAACACCATAGTAAAGAAACCACTGTCAGAGAAGCCAGCGTGCAGGGGGAAGTGGCGGGCAGTTTTAAAACACACTAAGTTTGACAGCCTTGGGAAATATCCGATGGAACTGCTTAGAAGATGGTTTGGATGAGTTCTTTCCTAACAGGTATGTTTTGTTTGGGGCGACAGCCCAGTTCAAACTCTCTCCTAGACTCTTCTGCCAGTCCCCCCCCAGACTCTCTGTCATGTCTCTGAACTCCCATGGTTGCTTCTGACCAAATAGTTCTAAAGGCATATCCCAGTAAAGATTCTGGAAGGGATATTGTTTTCCTGATAACAAATGGCAGCTTGGTATACGTCTTTCGCCCCTGTCCTTGCCCTTCCTTATTCCTGCGGAATCACAGTTGGATGCTTGAACAAGCAGCAGTGAACTTGTGGCCATGGACTGAAAGCCCTATAAAGAGATCAAGAAAATGTTCTGCATTGGGCAGCGGAGGTAGGAACTGGGGCAGTCTACTACTTGAGAAAAAAAATCCTTTTTGTTTGTTTGTTTGTTTTGGGTTTGTCTGTCCTGTAGACTAGGCCTGTCTCTGACTACAGAGTGCTGGGATTAAAGGCATGTGCCACCACATCCAGTTAAAAAAATTTCCTTTAGTTAAGGTGCTGGAACTATTCTTCTGTCATTTTTAGCAAAAATGTGATCCTAATTGGTTCAAGAACTAAAGCTCTGGAGAGAGATGTGGGGTAGAGACTGAGATTCAAGTCGGCGCGGAGGCGGTAACTGACAGCCCTGAGGCAGAAGTGAAGAATGCACGTGTAAACGGTCCTGAGGTCAGAGACTGAGAGGGCTGGCTTCTAGGTGATGTTGAGAGGAGGCTTTCCAGTTCACAGGGCAAGAATCCCTGGGTTGTTTCATATTGTTGGCATTTCTATACTCTCATTCCAAATGAAACAATCCATCTGGGGTTATTTAGTGAATACTCAACCCCCTGAGACGTTATTTTGTTATCATGTGCTTAGTCAAAGGTTTGCAAGCTCTGGTCCTGTGTAGTGAGTATCTTCCAGGGTGTGCACATTTGGGGCTCACTAGCTGATCTGGGAGCCTGTGTTCTCCTCTGTTTCTCGCAAAGCAGTGAGCTCTGGAGGTCTGTCCTAGAAAGCTGGTGCAAGAATGACCTGGCCAGCTTTTGTCAAGATTGTTGCCACAGCCTCTTGACTTGCCCTATTCTTTCCCTCTTCCCTTCTTGCCCCACTGTTAAGACCCCCCCAAGCCTGGAAAGCTTTTCTGCCTAACCCACAGATGTAGATACTTTACCCCCCCACCCCCTTCCCCCCACTCTGTTCTTGCTAGGATACACAGAAAGGACCTCATTACAGCACATTAGACGGAACTCTCAGTCCCCAGCCCTCTTGCCCTGCCCCCACCTCTGCACGCAAGGGCGGCACTCTGAAGGCCTCATTCTAGTCTCCTTTCTCTTGTCCTTTCAAGCCCTTGCAGGCTGTTTTCTTGCCCAGAAATATCTTTCCACACATTCTCTTACACACTGCCCAACTCACAGCAGCTAGATTTCTTTTCTGCTTTTTCCAGCAGCTCTCCATCTTGTCCCTCTCGCTTAACCCCTTCTTCAAGTTCTGTACAAATCCTGTTGATTTCTGTGTTAGTAGTCCAGAGAATGTGCCCTTCTTCATCAGTAATGCTGTTCACTAGTTCTAGAGCTCCAGGTCTTACCCAGTTATGTTGACCTGCCCTCTCTTCGGCAAATGTATCCCATCAGCATTATCTGCCCTCACTTTGGCAAATGTACTCACTCACATCAATGTTATCTGCCCTCCCTTCATCAAATCTGACTACACCAAGCTCTTGCTTAAAACACTTTGGACTCCAAATGGAATTGTCCCCACAGATCTGCCAAGCCTTATTTTTCCAAACCAGGTGGAGGGTGAAAGCGAACACAATGCTGGCTGTTAGAGAGTCCTCTTGTCAGCTCAGCCCCTTCCTCTGACTCCTAGAAGATCAGTTAGGCACAGGAGATACAAAATGGCCCTCACACTAGACTGCTTAGGTTCCAGCCTCAGCTTAAGTGCTTGTTATCTGGGTGTCCTAGGGAGACATTTCGAATTCACCAGGTCGGTTTCACCATATTGATCCAGGCAGTACTTAATAGTACAAGGCAATACTTTGCAGGACGGTTAGATTTCATAACTATATAGGAGCAGAGTGCATGTTTGTAAGTACTAGGTACTGTGATTGTAACAGCCATTTGGGCCCATTAGGTATGTATATCTGTTTTGTCTTCTTCAATTGTCTACAATATTGTCTGACACTCAGTAGATGTTTATTAAGCGTTTATTGCAAAGTGAGTTTGCTAACTCACTTGGTCAGGGTGTCTTGTCACATTTCATTTTGGCAGTTAAATTAGTATCAGGTTAAAGCCAGGAGTTTTGCTCTTCTACTCTGCCTCCCCACACCTGAGCTGAAGTCTTGGTTTCCAGTAGATGTCCAATTCATTTTTGCCAGTTCCCATGTAACATGATCATGTGTGAGTGTATGTGCTGGTATTTGCGAATAAGTATATGCATGCAGGCCAAAGGTAAGCTTCAGGTGTCATTCATATTTCATATAGAGAAAGAAAACAGACTTAAACCCATGTGTCATTCCATGTGACTAAGGAAGCACATCTCTCCTTTTTCTTTTCCCTGTGGTTGTGGCTCATCTGACTCACGTAGAAAGCAACAACTGTTAATTCTTTATCTGTATTCTTTGTTGCGTATAGTGGGTCCAGGTAGAACCTTGTAGACTGGATCACAAAGTATAGAAAGCCAGGTCTCTATTCTCAGACGCATGTTTCTTGACTGTGAGAGTTAGGGAGGTCTTCAGAGAGCTGGGTTTTAAAGGAAGAGTGGGCAGTTGGCCAAATTCAGAAGCAAAGGAAGGACTATGGAAGCTGATCAGCAGCATGATGACCCAGGGAGAATTTTCTGGAACTGAACACAGGGGCAACAGGATGAGTCTATTATTGTGTGTGCGCATAGACGCATTTGCCGTGTTGGTTGTATGGAGGTCAGAGGACAACTTGGTGAAGTCAGTGCTCTCCTTGCATTATTACATGGTTCCCAAGGTAAGGCTCAGGCTGGCAGATTGGAATAGTAAATGCCTTTAGCCAAACCCATCATCCGCAGACCTGTGTTTGAGTTCTTAATAGCCCAGTCTGGAAGCAGCAGGGATGCTAGTTATTGACAAGGCAGGCAGTAGGATCTCTTAAGGAGGCAGAAAATGCTATGCATAGACTCCCAAAGGGAAGTCACGAACTTTTTAGTGCTTTATCCAGTGTATACTTTTAAAGGATGCCGACACCTTTTTTTTTTTTTTTTTTTTTTTTTTTTAATTCTGCCCATTCCGAGTTGTTGCCCCTTTCTTTTGCCTCCACAGGACACTCAGAGTGACTTCCCGGGAATCGCCGGAGCTGGCTAGGGGTGCTCTTTTTGGAGGTCCGTGGTCAGAGTTAGACACCTAGGTGCCTCACTGTGCAAGTTGAATCAAGCTCCGGGCTTGACAGAGAAAGGTTTCATCTCCTTCTCGCCCCAATTAAACCAGACCGCCCACACACTAATAGAGGCTTGGTCCGGTCCAGACAGAAATGAGAGTGCCAGACGCCTCCAACCTTGAGCCACGGGCGTGTCAAAATCGGCCGGCTTCCCCACTTTCCCACCTTCTACTCCCGTTGATCAGTACTCTCGGAGCCCAGGAGGGACAGGGTCTCCGGGCGCCATCTGGATGGGCCCTGTGCGCCTGCTCTCGATGCGGTGGGCGGAGCTGTGTAGGGGGAGGGGGCGGTCTGGAGGCGCGGTGGGCGGGGCCTGCCGTTGGGCAGGTTCAGTGACGGCTCTAGCTCCGCCCCTGTCCTTCTGGTCAGGGAGGAGGGCGCCGGAGAGCGCGCGTAGCCTGAGCCGGCCCGGGAGCGGCCGCGCAGTGTGGGGCGGCGGCGCGATGGCTCCAGCTGTGGACCGCGAAGGCTACTGGGGCCCCACGACCTCCACATTGGACTGGTGCGAGGAGAACTATACGGTGACCCTGTTCGTCGCTGAGTTCTGTGAGTGGGGCCTGAGGCGGGGAGCGAGGGCGCGCGCCGAGGGGCGACGCGGCGTGCGGAGAACGCGGAGGGCGAACCTGGCCGCGAGCGGAGGCTCCAGGCCGGGCCCGGGAGCGGCAGCTGGGCGTGCGCGGCCGGGGGAAGCCGGGGAGCCGACGGGGACGCCCGTTGTGCCCGGCTGGCTTCAGGGGGCCTCCGGGTTGGGGACGGAAGGGACGTGGGAGCCGCGCCTGGGACCTCAGAGGACGTAGTGAGGCGCGCGGCTAGGAATGAGAGTTCCTACCTGAGCGCTGCTGCGGCCAGGCCGAGCGCTGTCCGTCCCGAGGTCGGGGCTGAGGAGGTCTCTGCCGCGAGGGCCCTGAACGCCAGCCCGACTGCTGCCACCCGCCTCAAGCTGGCCGGGCACGAAGGGGACGCTTACTGACTTCATCCTCTCCCAGTCTGGGGAACTCTTCAGGGCCCTTCCCTTCATCTCTCCGTCCTCATTAGTCCACGCTCACCTCCAGGGAACAGTTACCGTTTCTCTTAGCTGAAGCCGCCCCCCCCACTCCCACCCCTACTCCGGTGTCTGCAAGTGGCAGCGATCGCTGTTCACCTTGCATCAGAAGTGGAAGCCAGAACACCTTATCACTACCTTCCTGCTCCAGCCCAGCCACTCTCCCAAGAGCACGAGAGACTGCCTCCTTGCTCCCCTCTGCGTCTAGCTTATCAGACTTTCCAGGGGTTAATGGTCATCTAAGGACACTTCTTTCCACGAATGTTCCTTCAGAGTCTGCGATTTGCTGTTGCTAGACCCGCATTGCTGGCCAGGTTTGGGTCGCACTCTCTGTCCCCTTCCCTCCCTCCCTGCCTCCCTCCCTCCCTGCCTCCCTCCCTCCCTCCCTCCCTCCCTCCCTCCCTCCCTCCCTCCCTCCCTCCCTCCCTCCCTCCCTCCCTCTCTCTCTCTCTCTCTCTCTCTCTCTCTCTCTCTCTCTCTCTCTCTCTCTCCCTAGATGATCAGCTTTTGAGAGTACAGTGTTTGATGATTGTTTATGTTGTTGTTTGTTTCTGTCAAGGAGCAGAGAGTAGTCTTTGGCTGCTACTGCCTTCTTTTGAATGAACCCACTTTACTAGGCCATGATGCAAAACTCTCCTTAGCTAACATTCCCATTCTTGAGTCCTTCTCGATGGCAAAGGGTTTCATGCCAGATGATCCCGCACAAAGTCTTGGCAGGATGTTAGTCCCACAGATTGCGTATCACTTTTTCTGAACTACTAGTTTAAATTAATAGTTTTTATACAGTGAATGAGAAAACAGGCAAAATAATCATTTATAGGTTAATTACTTGGCAACCCAAACATTGGCAAAGGAATCACTTTGCCAGTTCTTTTTTACATAGCTTTGGCAAGAATATCAGAGACTCATGACCACCAGAGAGACTTAAAATCATGTTCTCGGAACTGGAAGTGTGTAGCTTTTTATTTTTCCCCTCTTAGGAGTCTTCAAATATTGGGTGGGCTTGAAGTTCACTCACTTTCTCTAGAATGTAGAATTAGGTGCAGTGGGTGGAAAAAAGTAACTGTAAGGAAAGATTTTTGCTTCAACACAAGGGAAAACTTTCTAACCAGGGATACTGTCTTGGAGCAGTTTGGCATGGGGGTAAGGGAGTAAGAACTTTTTGTCACTGAAAGTGCTAAAATAGGCACTCTTCACCTTTAATTCATTTATTTTCAGAGGACCTGTGTAGTAAAGGAACTAACCCCATTCATCTTTATTAATCTACATAGGTTAAGAAAGACTTTTATTTCAGAACCAAGATTTTAGATTAGAATCAAAAGAGAAAACTGGCAGTTGAGTCATGTGAACTGAGAGAGAGGAAGATACTAGTATTTTGGCACTTAGCTCTGAGAAATGGGAAATGGCTTTACTTCTTCATGTCCTCAGAAGAGGAAACTGAGTAGACTGAAGGAAGGTTTTGACATAGCAATCAAAAGTGTTGCATGAAGAGGATAAATTAATGTGTTCGGAACTCTTTGTGTATATACATTGGGAGAAAATGGCCTGAAGGAGGTTGAGTCAAATTGTCTGATCACATAATATAGTGGTGGATATCGATTAGAATTTGGAGTGGGAGTATTTGACCTTTGAATATTATGCAGATTTAAAAAGCTGAGTGTGTTGTTACATGCCTATAATTCCAGCACCTGGGAGGTAGGAGCAGGAAAATTAGGAGTTCAAGTCCAGACTCTGCTACATGAAACACTTTCTCTAAAAACAACAACACCAAAAAAGCAAGCAAAAGCTAATTAATACATCTTAACCATGTACTCCTGACAAGTGCAGCTCTATCACATTTACATTAGTTTTAATGATAGTATTATTAAGGATAATAATAGTTATTAACTAAGTACTCATTATGTACCACAATTTGCTAAGCCTTTGATATGTTTTATCTCTTTTGAGTTTTACAGTAATTCTCTGAAGGTATTATGCCCATTTCACAGATTAAGAACTTGAAATATTCATTTGTTTTTAATTTTTAGTTTGTTTTGTGTAAAGGTTTCTGTAACCCAGACACTCCAGATGTTCAATGTATATGTAGACTGGGCTAACCTCAGACTCTTGGTACTCTTCCTGTCTTAGCATCTCAAGTGCTTGGATCACAGGAATGAGCCACAATTCCTGGAAGGAACATATATTTCTTGTATTTTTGGTTGTGAGCCTAGCCTTTAATGGCTGAACCATCTCTCCAGCCCAGGAACATCTTTTTTTTTTAAAGAAATAATTTATCTAAAGTTGCAATGAGTTGTCCTGAAACAGTGTTCAGATTAAAGTTGTGTTCTAAATCTATTATGTACCTTTGCTTCCCCATCATAGTTTTTATTACACTTATTGTTTTGCCCTTGCATTCACGGGAGAACAGAAATCCTATATAGTATCACAAAAGACAAACTGATGGAACATTCAAGTTATTCAGCCATCTTTCAGCATTACAGTGTATTTTGAATAATGATTGAATTTGTGAACCATAGATGTGGCAGTGGTAACTCGAAGTCCTGAAAGCTATCTTCTTTTTTAATTAATTATTTTATCTATATCTATATATTTTGTTTTTCGAGATAGGGTTTCTCTATGTAGCCTTGGCTATAGATTCAGGCTGGCCTTCTAGTCAGGGATCTGCCTGCCTCTGCCTTCTGAGTGCTGAGATGAAAGATATGCACAACCACTGCCCCACTAAAAGTTATCAGCCCATAATGATTCAAATTTATTTTTATTTGAAAAGATTGGAAAGACCAGGGGAAAGGGAAGAGAGTCTTTTTAGGTAAGACATAACAAGTTCTGTGATGTGCCAGAACTTATAGGGATAAGTGGTTCCTGTTTTGAATTGGATTGTACAAGTAACAGTGCAAGCTAAAACTGGGCTAATAATATTTTGTTTGTTTATGTGGTGGAGGGAGTGTGTAATGCTACATTGTATGGAGGCCAGAGGATGAATGACTTGCAGAAGTCAGTTCTTTCCTTCCACCATATGGGTTCCAGGGACTAAACTCACTTCATCAGGCCTGATGGCCCCGAAGCAATTGTATAATTCATAGTAGAAAAGTTATAGTTGTTTTGTAAACTTTAAAAACTGTTGTCAAATAGGGCTGGCAAGATGGCTCACTTACCTAGTACTTCCTGCCAACTTTGGTGACCTGAGTTCAATTCCCTAAACCTACAAGGTAGGAGAGAACTGACTCCCACAAATAGTTCACTGACCTTTCCACATGCTCCCTTGACACCACATACACCAGAGTGGTTTTGGTTTTTTGAAACAGGGTTTCTCTGTGGTTTTGGAGGCTGTCCTGAAACTAGCTCTTGTAGACCAGGCTGGTCTCCAACTCACTGAGATCCGCCTGCCTCTGCCTCCCCGAGTGCTGGATTAAAGGTGTGCGCTACCAATGGCCGGCTCAAAAGTGTTTTTATTTCTTTGTAAAATAGCATATCAACAAATGTAGCTCCTTCTCATCACATAACATGGAATGAATGTTTTTCCTATGCATTGACTTTGTATTTAAATGTATTTCCTTTCTGAGTTTGGACAATCTTTTAGCATTTTATTCTTTGCACTTTCCATATTATTAAATACCTCCAAGAATTCCTTTAATTAGCATTGACTTAGTTTTGTTTGTTGTCCACCACTATCATTCTTATGGATTATCTTCACTCTTTTTCACCACAGCTGTTGTGTTCATTAGGTTGATAAGTTTGCCTTAACTAAGTTTCTCAAGAAGTACATCTTTAGCTCCTTAAATGCATCAACATTTCTGTAACAAGTCTTTTTTTCTGTCCTGCCAGGCAGCAGTGACAGAATAATGACACGGAGACGTCTTATTAATTATGAAAGATTGGCCTATAGCTTAGGCTTGATCTTAACTAACTCTTATAACTTAAATTAACCCATTTCTATTAATCTGTGTTCTGTCATGTACCACCCATCCTGCTTCCTTGAATCTCTCCTTGTGTGCTGAGATTCCTCCTACTTTCTCTCTGCTTAGAAGTCCTATAAGTCTTGCCTGTACCTCCTGCCTAGGTATTGGCTGTTCAGCTTTTTATTACACCAATAACAACAGTACACCTTCAACAGTGTACAAATATCCCACAACGCATTTCCACTATTTCTCTTATAACTGTTCACATTTGTTTGGATTTTCTATCCATTGGAGTTTGTTCTCTGCTCTCTTTTCCCCATTGTTGGTCAGTTCCTTCTTACTATTCATTTTTGTAAGATGCCATCAGGAGAAAAAGATGCAGCTATGCTAATGTCTGTATGTGGACTGAATAACAGATATTTAATGACTTTTAAAGTAATCAACTTTGAAAGAATTGACTTAGTTGGTCACTGAAAAAATTTATGTAATTATATGTGGGTTGAAGATCTAGCAGTGAAGTTTTTAGTATATTTATTTCGATTAGTATTATTTAACTAAATTCTGGCAAACCAAAATATATACATATTGGAACTCTGCTGAGCGAAGATTGCCTGTATATTAATAATCCTCAAAATATTCTTATCAAGTAGGTGATGGTACCACATTTTAAAAAAGGGGTATTAGGTCTGAAAGAAGTTACCTCCTCAATGGCATATAGATGTGCCACTAATAATGGCAGAAATAGTATTAAAACTTAGATCTGACAACTTTCTACCATGGTGCACAGATTATTGAAAGTTTCATTTTGAGTACTAGTAGTTTAATGGAAGAAATAATGCCTAAAGGAAGAGGAGAGTTCTAAGCCTTATTGTTGCCTTAGAGAAGAAATTACACAGTTAAAAATTATTTAAGGATCTGGGTGTGGTGGCTCATGTCTACAATTCCAGGACTTAGGAGGTAGGGACAGGTGAGTCAGAAGTTCAAGGCTGTTCTTAGCTACAGTTAGCATCTACCCTAGGTATTAAAAGACCTGTTTTTAATTTTTTTCAGAGTATTTCACTTATTCAGTAAATATTTATTGAGCTATTTTGTCATTTGTTTCAGACTGTAAAACTGTTATGTATAGGCAGCCTCTCTGTCAATGATAGTTGAAAATGCCAGAAAGATATAAATAGGCACACTTTCCCCGCCCCCAGATTAGAGGTTGAAGCCAGGACTGTATGTGTGCTAAAGCTGTATCTATATATCATTATACATATATATGTATATATATATCTATCTCTACTACTGAGCTAAGCTCAACTCTCTGTTTCTTATTTTAAGACAGAATCTCACTAATTTGTCTAAGGTAGCCTTGAAGTCACTCTGTGTAGTTCAGACAGGCCTTGAACTTATTTCCTTAGTCTTCAGAGTAGCTGTGATTGCAGGCCTGTTTTCACTGCTCCTTCCAAGTGAAATACATTTCAAAAAATGTATTTGATAGAAGAATGTCCAAGAATTTACATTTTATAGGAGTTATATGTTAAAAAGCTAAATAATATTTGAAAATTCTTAGTTATGACTTCCATCAGGTAGAGGAGGTAACTTGATTGGCTGCATCTTCACTGATGAAGAGAATCAACAGCACTCACAGTAAGACCATGTGACCATCTTCCTTTTATTTTGGAGTTGGGATGATTTGAGCTACGTATTGTTTCTCCTCATGGATTTTGTTGCCACTCTTTCTTCAGTCCTATCTGTAGGACCCAGGCAGAAGGAAGTAGGCATCCCTCAGTGCCCTCAGTCTTTATGGCTTTATTATAAGATTCACTTAGATGGGAGACAGGAGTTTGTTTTTTCTCTCTCTGTAGCCAAGGATAAAAGGCTTTAACCAGTTGTCTTTCATACATATGCCATACATACAGATACTTAGGGGTATCTGGTTTCTTATTTTTGCTTCCTTTCTTTTCCTTTCCTTTTCTCAGGCTCCTTCCATTTTTCTTGAAATAAGTGGGTACACATTAGGAGTCTTTTAGTTCTGAGTCTCTGTGGGCTGGCAGAGGTGACAGTTTTTTATCATCTTAAGGAAGATAATTATTTTGTTAAAATTTTTATTACAATTTTATTTTTTAGTATGTATGTGTGCATATGCTTGTGGCTATCAGAAGACAACTTGTGAGAGTCAATTCATTTTCTATCCTCTGGGTCATGGGGATTGAACTTAGGTCCTCAGAATTGATGGTAGGTGCCTCTACCCACTGAGCCATTTCACTTGTCTCAAGAGAATTTGTTTCCTAAGGAAAAGCAGACGGGCAGCACTGCATTCAACGTATAATGCAAAAGCTCCATAAGTCAGGTGAAGAAGGAAAAACAAATGAAAGATCAAATTTAGTGTACAAAAAGATTTAGGTTTAATATATCAAACTCATAGACTGCAGGTAAATGTTTTTGTTTTTGTTGTGGTGGTGGTGGTAGACATACTTATGGGTACATTAGAACAGAAATGATACTTAATAAAAACCTGAAACAGATTTATAAAGACTTGTTGATGTACCTAGCTTTTGACATTGCAACACACCAACACTGCACTGTCATCTGCAAAGTTCATTCTTGAGAAGCACATAATTGAGCTAATATATATATAGCAAAACCAAAACCCCTCAATTTTTAAGTAAGTTTACAATTTTGTGTTGGCCTACAGACATGTTTAGAACTCATCAAAATGACAGAGCCAGAAAGAGAGAAGAACAGTTATGGTAACATGAAAACCCTGGACATTTTACTATGGAAAAAGCAACAGGGTAATAGAAAGGCCAGTATACTAAAGTCTGGATCTTTGCTCCAGTTCAGGCTTGTGACTTTGGGTAAGTCATTTATTCTCTGTATCATTTTATTTTCTATAAAATGCACCTTTTGAATGAAGGACCTCAAGCATGTGAGATAAGCGCTTTATTGAAGAGGGAATCAATGCAATGGGGAAAGCAGTATTTTTATTAACAGGAGAAAGCACTTACACACAAGCTGGGAAAATGAGAAGCGTGGCCAGCTTCCAAGAGAGAAGCTTTTGCTTTTCCTTTCCTTTATATACCTCCTGTCCTGTACCCCTTTGGGGTGAGGACAGTATTGTGGGCTCATCCCTACAATTCCCCTTTTAGTCTAAATAAAGCATTTAAACTTGCTACAAAGCTCAAACATATGCAACATATATACATAGAAGGTGATAAGCAAGTTATAATCTACTTATATCCTAAACTAAACATATCTATCCCATCTAAATCCTAAACTTATCTGAAAGAGATGCCCAAGTCTGAACACCTCCTTCCAATCCCAATCCTAAAATAATTGAAAACTAATACTAACAGGTGTAAACTATCCTATAATATCAACAGTAGGAAAAGGGGGTGTAGTATTCTCAAAATTACTTCCTGCTGAAATGGGATGACGACAGTCTCATGGAAACCTGTGGGAAGAAAGTGTTTGCACAACAAGAGCCTTAAATACATTAAATAGTCTCTGTTTGGCAGGAGATGCTTGAATGAAGTTCTTGACTGAAGTTGTAATGTTGATTGAAGCTCTTGTCTGAAGCTCTGGCCAGCTTGTAGGAAGTGAACCGTATCAGTTCATTGGTCTGGAGTTGTGTCGAGCAATGTAGTTCCAAACTGGTTTCAGGATGGTACTAGTCAGGTGGAGTCAATGATATGGGGCAGTTCAGATGAATCAAGTCGAATCAGGTGGAGTCGATAAAGTGGGGATTCCTGTTAGGAAATTCCTTGTTCTCTGGAAAACTCAAACATTAATGCTAACAGAGACATTTTCAACTTTTATATGTATGCATATCAGTAAAGGCAACAATAAGGAAGATAGTAAACATGAAGGAGATTAGACTTTCAGAAAAGGAACCGAATTTAAACAGATGACATCCTAGTTTTGTTTTCTTTTGTCTTATATCAATGGCTTTTTGATATAATACAGAAATTCTGAATCTTATTTTAATAATATGTTTGGATTTAGAGGAGAGCCAATCCAATTCCAGAGCCAGCTCCAGTTAAATGAATTGGGACTAAATAATATTAAGAAGCAAGGAGAAATGGATTATTATAAGAACAAGATAGAGAGATTTAGACATTGATACCCAGTGGTATCAATAGTTTGTTTGATAGTCCTCAGGGTAGCTATCCATTCTTCAGGTATCCATATGTCCAGTATTTTTCTATGTTTGGAGCAGAGTTTTCCTGTGAAGACAAAAACAAAACACTTCTCTTTCCTTTTATGAGGTCTCCTTACACATAGTAGAATATGACCTTGTAGATAAGCTGTCACCTTTCCTCCTCCTGAAGTTTCTTCTGTTCGGATCGAATCTTGATAATTTTTATGGAATCCAAAGTTTTTCTTCTCCTGTGGAAACAAAGGCAAAACCTCAAGCACAGCACATATCCTGGTTTCCAAACTGAGGTCATAACCTTGAAATACACGGGTTGGTTTAGTTCAGAAGTTTTTTTCTGTAGTTCAGTGTCTTTCTGCAGCTGTTTGTCCTTTTTTATTAGCATTAAGAAAGTTCAATGTTAGTAAAGCATTATGTAATCTGTGTTTAAGTGTCTTTGTTCCCCCCTGGTTGTTTATGAATCATTTCTTTTAAGGTGCGGTTAGATCTCTCAACCACTGCTTGTCCTGTAGGATTGTGAGGTATACCAGTTTTTTTTTGTTATAATATTTGAAAAACGGTTCCAATTTGCTGGAGACATATGCTGGAGCATTGCCAGTTTTTATTTGTGCAGGTATACCCATAACAGCCATCACCTCTAAGGGGTGTGTTATAACAGAATAAGCCTTTTTAGAGCTGAGGCCAGTAGCCCATTGGAAGCCTGAAAATGTGTCTATGGTATGGTGTATGTATTTCAAACTTCCAGATTCTGGAAAGTGAAATACATACATTTGCCAAATTTCATTTCTGCGAATACCTTTGGGATTACTGCCTGCTGGTAGTGGAGTTTGATTATAGAATGAACAGGTGGGGCAGTTTCTTACTATTTCCTTGGCTTGTTGCCAAGTGGTAGAAATGTCCTTCTTTAAGCCTTTGCTGTTGACATGGTGTTTCTTATGAAATTCTAAAGCTTCTAACACACTTCCTATTAATAAATGATATCAAACTCATCATTGCCTTGTGCTAGAGGACCTGGAAGACCTGTATGGGATCTGATGTGTGTTATATACAGGATGAGTTCTATTTCTGATGGTTTCATGTAATTGTAAAAACAATGAGGTTAATTCTGTATCATCAGGAACAAATTCTGCAGTCTTGATGTGTAAAACTACTCTCTCTGCGTACTGAGAATCCGTAACTATGTTGAGAGGCTCTGTAAAGTCTTTAAGTACCATGAGAATGGCGTACAACTCTGCCTTTTGCACAGAGTTGTAAGGCCTTTGAACTACTTTACTTATATTTCCTGATTTATAGCCTGCCTTACCTGACTTGTTTGCATCAATGCAGAATGTAAGAACTCCAGAGATAGGTGTTTTTCTTACAATACGCAGAAGGATCCAAATTGTTTTCTTTATGAATTTGATTCTCTCTGTTTTGGGATAATTGTTACTGATTGTTCCCAAAAAGTCACTGCAAACCCTTTGCCAATATTCATTTTCCTTCCATAAGGAGGAAATTTCCTCATTTGTTAAGGGTACAACAATTTCTGCTGGGTCCTTCCCAGTTAGTTGATGAAGCCTTAAATTACCTTTTAATGTCAAATTAGAGATCTTTTCTATATATATCTTCAGTTTTTTATTCTTTTTATGTGGCAGAAATACCCATTCCAGTATTATGTCTTCCCTCTGCATTAATATTCCAGAGGGGTATTCTCTAGGCAAAATATCCAGAATGCAGTCCAGTTTTGGATCCACATGTGCTTCAAATATTCTTTGTTCTACCCATTCTAATTCTTTTTTAACCTCAGCTGATAATATTCTAGGACTATTTAAGTCCGTGTCTCCCTTTAGGGCCATTTTCAGGTGTTTTAAATCATGCCCTTCCACTCCAATAATCGTCTGTAGTTGAGAAATTTCTCCTAGTAATTTTTGAAGATCATTAAGAGTCTGGTAATGATGTCTTCTGATCTGTACCTTTTGCAGTCCAATCTTTTATAAGTCTATTTTATAGCATAAATAATTTTTCTGGGGCAATTTGTAATCCCCTTCAAGGTAAAGTTTCCTTTATTGCCTCAAACATCTTTTCCAACATACCTTTTTTTTTGAATCAGCTAACAATATATCATCCATATAATGATAGATCATTGATTGTGGAAATTGTTTATGAATTATTTCCAAGGGTTTTTGCGCAAAATACTGGCACAAAGTCAGACTACTTAACATTCCTTGTGGCAACACCTTCCACTGAAATCTCTGTACTGGTTGAGAATTGTTATAAGTAGGCACTGTGAAGGCGAATTTTTCCTTATCTTTTTCTTGTAAAGGTATAGTGAAGAAGCAGTCTTTTAAATCTATAACTATAATTGTCCATCCTTTAGGAATCAGAGAAGGTAATAGCATCCCAGGCTGTAGAGAGCCCATAGGCTGAATTACCTTGTTGATAGCTCTCAGATCAGTAACCATTCTCCATTTCTCAGACTTCATTTTGATAACAAGTACAGGAGAATTCCACGGACTGTTTGATTCTTCAATATGTCCAGTATTTAGCTGTTCCTGAACTAACTTTTCTAAAGTCTCTAACTTCTCAGAGGTCATAGGCCATTGCCCTACCCAGACAGGTTCATCTATTAGCCATTTTTAAGGATAGTGCGTTTGGTTCCTCTGTAGGTGTGTCACTAGCATCCTGTAACTGTACAGCTTGTATATTCTGCAACTTTTTATTGTAGTGCCTTACAATATTCTTTCTACCACTAACAGCTTGCTTATTATTCATCTCTCACAGAAGGAATGTTAATCTTGGTATTCCATTGCTGTAATAAATCACAACCCCAGCAATTTATAGCAATATCTGCGACATATGGCCTCAATCTTCCTCTTTGTCCTTCTGGTCCTATACACTCTACCTATCTAGTACTTTGTCTTACTTGAGATAGGGTCCCTATTTCTAACAATTGGACGTTTAAAACTTGAAGAGGCCAATTTTTCGGCCACGATTCCTGAGTTATAATAGAAATATCATCCCATGTGTCAAGCAAGCCTTACAGAATAATGTTTTTTACCTGTACTTTTAATTTTGGCCTCTTGTCATTGATAGCAATCTACCAAAATACACATTTTCATTTCCTCTAGTATCGACTGGTTCATCTTCAATAACTAATCTGTCATCCACAGTGCCATTAGTCTTTACAATAGGCAGTGGATCTTCTAATTGTCCTGAGAGAAATCTTCTACAGTGACTAGGAATGACCGGACCACTTTTGACATGGGGGACTTCGAGAGGCCCCCTTGAGGAGTTTCCCTATTGTTAAGGGTTACTTTGTTTGTCCATAGTCGCCTACATTCTTTGGTCCAGTGTCGGCCCTTGCCATATCTCCTACACAAACCAGAAGGCTGAGGCCTTCTGTTGGAATCATTCCTATGAGAAGCATTATTTCCTACTCAGATGTCCTATTCTACCACAATTAAGACAGCTGGTGTTATGATGTCTTTTTAAACTTCTGGTGATTGCCCCTCCAACCCAAGTTTGTATCTCCTCACGGTTAGGCCATTTGTCATCTTGGTGCCTCTTTAGGCCTTTAGAAATGGCCTCTCCTACCCAGGTCCCTGTCTCTGGACTATTATTCTCAATATTAGCTGTATACAAGACCCATTTGTCCAATGGCTCTGATCTGATCTTTAATGGCCACAGGAACTGTTTGTATTGTAGATTTGCATTCTCATAAGC